GATGGGCTGAATTGCACAAAACGCATGATCGCACCGGCTAGCCTGGTGCGCGTTGCCATTTATTTCCATTGCTACCACTGGTAGTAGGCATTGCAGTTAGCTTTGCTCTTAAATTCGCCAGTGAAACGCAGGCGTTTCTTTCGTTCCTTTCGGTTCTCTCTCCTTCGGCTAGTGCTTTTAAGCATCTCCGGACCACCGCGTTCTTTCCGGCGGATGGGCGCTTGCTACCACCACAGCTGCTTTTGAGCATCCCCCTCCCTCATATGAAATGTGAATTTAACATCATTTCTGCTGTTGTTTCTGGTTTGTTTTACTCATTGATTGGTTTTTAATTTCATTTCAAATCAGAGAGTTCCCTTTAGTTACACTTCATTTTTCAGGAAGTAAGATTGCCGAGTGTAAAAACAGAAACATTTGGCCCGAAATTGATTTTTGGCGATCCTCCATCTCCAGATCATTGTCTAGCGGATGATGAGGCGCTTTTCTTGTTGCCATCTACCTCCAATTTGGCGGAAAAGAAAGGGAATGCTGATGCTGGTGATACTGAGGTGCCGCCGTGGAGGTTTTTTTTTTCAGTTTCAACTCGTTTGTTTACACCGGGAATTATTCAGTGTTACAGTCCACTGTGGGTCCTCTACAGTGGGATGTACGTAGCCTAGTACTGTTTAATGTTGAATACTTGGTAAATACGTAAGAGCAGCTTGAGCCGGACACGTTCTATTTAATGTTGTCAGTTTTGTGATTCCGTAACCAGAGCAGCCTGATTACTGAATTTCCCTGAGCACATCTCTCACCGTTGTGTTTATGACGAATGCTTGCAATAATTTGTGACAGCGTGAATGCTTATTCTCAACTCGTTTAGCTTCAACTGTGTGCGGATACAAGTGCCCCTTAGCAACAAGCATTTGCGGGAAAATTGTACAAAAACCGCATATTCAGACCGTCAATTCGACTACTGGGTTTGGCATGGGGCTGATTTTGAAAACTGATCACCGCTGTGAAAAATTTAGGTATGGGCCGGCGCAAATTTGGTACGATGCAATGAATGTTCCACCGAACCCTTCGCATTTTGATTATGGTTTTAAACTGAAACGTGATGTAAGTGCATTTGAAATTTATTTCCTTCAGCCCTTCCCCTCGCCCTCTTTCTCTTTGCGCACTCTCGCTTCTTCAAAAAGCTGCTAACAGGTACTAATCGCCTGCAAAGCTTCGCTCGTTTCCTCTGGGCAGTATTCAGAAAAAGAACGTGTGAAAATGTTTCAAATGTCGGTCTATTCCACTGAACATCAGTTCTGGGAATCCGATTTTAGTGATGCATCACAGCTACCATAATCCCATCGGTCTTTTGTTGCAACACCTGTTCGATGTTGTGTATTGACTCCTCTGAAACCATACGAGTGGAAGTTTACTTCTTCGAGAGGTTACTTATCTGTGCTATCCAGCGCCCGCAGGCGATTCACCTGCGCAGTTCGTCGGTTTTCGCTTTTTCGCATCCGGTTTTGCGTTACAGTTCATTCTGACTTAAAATGTGAGATGCGAAAAGTGAGCGAGATGAGGTTTTCTCGAATTTTTCCACATACTTTGCAGCAACCATCACGAAGAAGGAGTTCGATAAAGGAGGAGAAAAATGAGAAAAGTGAGGATGAGACAGCGAAAGAAGAAATCGGTCCTGGATTGGCTTCGTGCAAACCATTTCCTCCCGAAACATTCCTCCCTGTTAATTTAGTTCGATGGGAAGACGATATTATTTTCGATGAGGAGCAAGCAAGGCAGCAGGTACTTTTAAACTTTGTTGAAATAAACCTTTTTCATGGAATTTAATACAGTCGCATGGCGAGCAAAGCACGAAGAGTTGGCAAGAATTTTAGGTAATTACTAAAACTCGGCTCGGCTCGGCACGGCTCGGCTCGGCTCGGCTGGTGTCTTACACGA